TTTCAAAAATCAACAAACAAACAGATTTCTGCAAAAAAAAAAAAAAAAAAAAAAAAAACAAACCAAAAAACAAAAAAACCCCACACAAACCAAAAACCAAACAAATGGTTTGAGCAAATATGCTGTTCAGAGTTGATGGGTAAGCACAGAACAACTTTGGTAACGTTTACTGATACACAATTTCCAACTCCAAGCCACAAATCTCTCCTTGTAACTGCTTGGCCAGGGAATTCGCCAATTCACTCATTTTCACATGAATGTAACTGACTCCTTTTCTACTTTTCAACTACCATTATCGGTAACTATCAGTGTTGAACAGATGTACCCTGAATAACACTCCACACTTTGGATGGCAACTTCAGGAAGTTGCAAGAATCTAGGAACAAAGGAAAAACAACTTTTGGATACAGGCATGAGAAGATTTGCTGAAGAGAAAACAGCAAAATAGGCAAAATGAAAGCTTCCTCATTAGTCTAGTTTTTCTCAATTCAAGACACTCAACTTTTATAAAAGCTACTGCTGACAGTAATCCAAGCTATTTGCTGGATTTCAGATTGGGAGTACTATTAAAATTAGAGGTGCAAATGTTGAGACAGTACCTAACAAAATGGTAAAAACAGTACCAGAATGAAAAAAAAAATTATTACTTTTATTCTTTTAAGTAGTTTTGCCTTATTGCTACAGAGTTCATAAACTTACAAAAATAAAAAAAAAAAAAAAAGACAGTGCCTGATGTCTTTGGGCATTATCTTAAGACTATAATTTGATTCGTTCTTGTTCCTAAATACAGATAGGTCTTGAGGCAGACTAGACATTGTCGTAATTTCAACAAAAGATAAGCTTCATAAAGTCAGCTATATGGTTTTAGTCTACTTTTCAAGTGAGCAGGTGGTAGCCAAAGATGCAAAAGTTAGTCCCTGTAATCTACTGATACCTGTATCACAATAGTACAGGCTCTGGAAGCTGATGAGAAGTTTCCTCCAAATGTGCTCAAACCCCTTCAAAACAGACAGGATCTCCTGACCCAAAAACTGGTGTTACACAACAGTTAAACAAGTGGTGGTTTGTTTTGGGGTTTTGTTTTTTTGTTTTTACAAATTGCTGAAGCCCCAGTTATCTCAAAGAGCAAACAAAGGAGGTTTCTTCCCTGGATTCTCCTGCCAAGCTTCACCCACATGCCTTCCATGACAGACAGGCCTGCTGCAGTGACAACACACTGAGGCACCGTCCTGGGGAATTTGTTTCCAGGTGCAAGCTCAACTTTATGAGCTCCCATTCTGCTATACCTACTTCAGTAACCCAACATGCATATCTTCTCCAATAATACCCAAGTAAAGGGGAAAAATAACTGCCAGACAACTCGCATTCTTTAAGATAACATTTCGAGTGCTACTTTCCACTTGTTCTGCAGCTCAGTAATGAAATGCATTTTGAACTTCCAAGAACAAGAAAGAAGGCAAAGCAGGATGTACTGTAATTATTCAACTCTCTACTTTCAAACACAAGAAAAGAAGTGTACCATCTGCAATTAAAAAAAAAAGAGATACCCCAAGAACTTTCCATTCACCAGCCTTTTTTCTTAAACATAAATTATTTTTAAAACAGAAAGCCAAACAATTACTGCAAAGATGATGTGAAATCTTCCAGAACTTCAGCATATTAAGTTCCATCATTCTACATGGTTTTGCCCCCTTCTATAACAGTAAAGCATCTGCTGGCAAGGATATTTCCATTTCACATTTTATCAGTTTCTGTTCAGCCACTGCATGGCACAGTAATCAGCCACATGTTCAGTTATTTAGTAAGAGTTCATAGATAATTTTGGTCACTCCCTCTGAAGTCAGTCAGGAGGGCTGCAGAAGCTTCAGAACCAAATCAAGAGTTTTGGTAACTTGACTTGCATTCCCCCCTGCTTTTGGTTTGGGTTTTTTGGGGGGGTTGTTTGTTTTTTAGAATACGACAAAGAAAAGCCTGGATACTAACAAAGCAAGAGGAAGTAAGAGAGAAAACTCCCAATCTTACTGAACTCTCAATCTAAGTTACAGTCACTGTTAAAGAATTTATGG